CTGATTACACTGTAAATGATAATCTACCTTAACCAAAATCAAAGTAGACTATCACTCACCCACACCAGATGGAAAACTCTACAGACTGTCGGTTCACACCCCATCACAAGCCAATATATATATATATATATATATAGATAGATAGATATATCGTCACATAACTATGAACTAAAAGAGTACAATTTGCAAAACAAACGGCAAAAATTAAAAAATTAAGAAAACAAGACAAACATGAAGGGCACAGTGAAACCATTCATTTTTCTCATTCTTTTGTCGACTCTTTCACCGTGCCTCTCATGTACAAGGCTCGCCACGTTGATGAAGTTGAGCGCGAGCTGCCCTCATCCCCGTGTGCAATAACAGCCCACTTGTACGCTGTAAGAAAGAGGCAGAGTGAAGGGGGAGGCGATAAACACAGGGAGGAGAAATGGAGAGCAGACAAACAAAGAACGATAAAGGGAAAGTAAGGGAAAGTATGGAGTATGGAGTGAAGATGAAGGCAAAAGAGGATAAGAAAAGGCTCAACAATGAGTCTGTCCTTGACGACAGAGAGGATATAGATTGTAAGGATGACGTGGATGAACACATGGACGACCTAGCTGAGCATTCTCAGTGCAACAATTGCCACGACGGGTGGCATTGAGCATGCCCATCATACACCCCCAACAAATGGCATGTCGACTGCAGGCCAAAATGAAAGAAGAACGGTCACCACAAAAGACCACGCATTCAGTATAGCGCCCATAGCCGCAAAATGGACATATAGTGTCCGGATGTGGAGCCTGCTTGCAGTCAGGAACGGTGCAACAGTCCTCTGCACACATGGATGCAGAAACCATGTCATTGTAGGGACTGTGAGAGAGACGATGGCAGCTACAGCCGAGTGTAACAGTGCTTGTGGCTGTGCAAWGGAGAAGGTCGCAGAGTGTTGGTACATTGTCTTGCTGCAGCACGGGGCCAGAGGAATGATCTTCAACATAAAAGAGATTGTGGACGGTTTGTTGTGGCAAGAAAACAACATCATTTGTAAGAAACCAGTGATATCAATCATGGCATGGACCATGGTGCCGTTGTCCCACAGCTCCCAGTGGTCAGAGGCATGTACAATGGCCATGTAATGGCCAGGCCGTGCACAATGCAGGCAGAGATGTGGGATGGAGGATCCCTCATTGCTACTTATAGGACAGCAATGGCAAAGCCTCCTTCGCTGGTATAATTACAATCCTCTGGCTGTCGTTGAGGAAGATCAGCATCAAGCTGAAGGGCGATTGCAAGGAAGTCTGATGGTGTATAAAACGGGCGATGGAGAATGTGACGACACATATTAGTTGCTGTCAGACCACAGAGATTGGTGAGGTTCTCAGGCTGGTTTGTTGGATGTTGGCCAACAATTTGCAGATCACCCAGATGGTGTTGCAAACCCAAACTGTGTTGGGTTGTTTGCTGGTCAGTCATTTGCAGATCACCCATGTGGTCTGCGCGTGGCGGAGCACAAAATTGTGGTTCATCCGAACAATGCTGGTCAGCCATTTGCAGATCCCCCAGGTGCTCTACGCCTTGTGGGGTCAACTGCAATATGGGCAGATCATGTTCCAATCCCTCAATGTTTAGGGCTGCATCCTGAATCCGGGCAGATCATGTTTCACTTTCGGCCTCTCGGGCCTCTTCCTACCCGGCTATAGGCTGTAGGACCAGTCTATCAGCGTAGGCCTGCCTATCCTCGTGGTAGCCCGGGTCTGCTATTCGCAGTTAGGATAGCATAGGAAATTCGAGTTAGGGTAGGACTGTAGATTTTCCAAATTTACAGATATGTCCCTCACTAATTTCCTAAGGACTGAAATCGCACCCTAGCTGTACTATACAGCCTCGCAGTCAGAACACAGCAGTCAAATCAGCAAGTCATTGCACCGCCATATGATTTGTCTTTTGTGCATGTGGTGAGTACAGGCCCTGAGGGCCACTGCACGTACTCCTAAGAAAAGAAAAACGAGAAAAAAGAGAATTAGTGACCCATAACCGTGATGCACAGACCTGAATTTGAATCCACACATACAATCTGGAAAGGTCTGAAGTCTATCTCTGCTCGATGTAGGGTCCCCACCAATTCGTTGTAGGGGCCCTTCGGAAAGGAGATTGGCCAATATTAGGACATGCACACCCACACGCACAGACATGTGCCCACAGTTTTGGGGTATGGCGTGGGCCCGAATTTTATCCCTCTTGCTTTCTGATTTTTAGAAGCGAGGGGAATGTTTGGCCACCCCACCCTGTCCTTTCGATTTTATTTAAATTTTTTTTTTCTGAGTGAGGACGCCGCCCGGCCGGTTGGGCCCGGGGGGGCCGCCCGGGTAAACCGGGCGGGCCAAAAAAACGCCTATATATCGTCAAATATACATATATATATATCGTCACAAATGTCTGGACCAGTCCGGACTGTCCGGTGATCCGGACATTACCGGACACCCGGACATCACCGGACCCGGACAATCCGGACCGGTACCAGGGGTGCACAAATGTCCGGACCAAAAAAAAAAAAAAAAAAAAAAAAAAA